TTCAAACAAGAGACAAACAACAATTGTATTTTTATAAATCGTCTTATACAACACGCTAGGCTTCTATCCTTCAAGCAAGAGACAAATATAATTATACTTTCATAACTTGTCTCAAGTATGAACGGGGAATTGACTGCTGTCTCCATTTGGATAGATAGATAGATAAAATTTTTATCGACGTTAAAGGCATAGAATTCACAAGGCACAGTAATATTAACAACTAAAAAAAATTAATAATTTCTTTGTACGAATATATCTATTTTAAAGTTAATAGATATGGGAAAGAAAGAATTTTGTTCAATAAATTTCATTTGAGCTATTGAACTTTACTAAGAATTACTAAGAACAAATGTTCCTCTTTATAATTTTTATATCCATTATTCAGGTCGAAAGCTGGTTTTCAGCATTCATGAACCGAACTACTCGATGAACAAAATGAAAAATGTATTTTTTTTAAAACCTTCATACAACCTGCGTGATTATTTTGATTTGGTATAATAATAATCTTTATATATTACTCAGTAAAATTTTTTTTTTATTGATTTATTTAATATCTTCGTATTAAACGCGTAGTCACGTGATCAATTTAATACGAAAATATATTTTCCAATCTCCATTTTGCTCCCTGGTGAATATGGTTCAAATTTGCATGTATGAGACCTGTATTTCAGCTTAGTATACCATTTACAACTAACCCTGTCTATCTGCTTGTCACTTGCTACAATTTTAGCAGAGTTCAAGTTATATTGGTCGATAAAAGTGAAATGTAAATAAGTGCATAAATGTAGACCGGAGTCGTGAGCGTATTTTCTTTTGTGGTGAACACGCCTAATGAGTTTTGCATAACGTCTATACATACTCTGCTTGCCCGCGGTTTCACTTGTGTTTATCATATTTTTATTTCGGACTTCCTGTTACCTGTTTTTAAAAGATAATTACGAACGAATAAAAGAATTAGCGAAAAATAGTTATGTGGTTAATTTATATGCGGTCAAAGTGGGAGAGGTATATCAGCGAAATCTCTCTACAATCTTTTAATAGAATAGAAATAATCTTTATTCAAATAAACTCATTACAAGCACTTTTGATTAGTCATATTTTGATTCTACCACTCATTCGGAATGCAGATTCATCACAAGAAGAATGATCAAGAAACTTGTGTGTTGCTCTTTTGAATATATGTCTAAATGGTCTTAGTCTATTTAGACCTGCAGTGAGTTCTATACTAGAACATGTATCTAAAGCTGCATTGCCAGACTCCTACCAGATTTGGCTGGACAAGGAGAGAAACACGAGACGTGAAGGTGAGTATTGATGTACGTCAGGAAAGAGGCCCTTTAAACCTACACCCAGGTCACCAGTCCCGGGACCAGCTCAGAGTTTCCAATTCTGCCACATGGACCCGGCTATCTCACGGTGTATTAATGGAATGTTAAGAAGTACATCTCTAGCCTGTCTTAGTGATACAATCTATCTATAGTAGCTTCAAATTAAACTACATTAAAATTCACTCAGCCGTGTAGTCTTTAAAAGGTAGCAGACAGACACACTTTCAATATTGTAATACTATATGTAATGATATAATAAATAAATAAATAACCCTGGACAATTAACACAGCGCCATCTAGCACCACGGTAAGCAGAACTTGAGTTATGAATACTAGACAACTGATATAAATACATTTTTTTTTAATACATACATAATATACATAGAAACCACCAATATTGATACAAAACATACTCATGCAAGAATACAAATTATTGCACAGTGCAAGGAATCGAACCCGCGACCATCAGAAGTAAAACGGTGTGCTAAACCGCTAGACCACCGAGGCCGTTATATATAATGAACCTGACTATACTCTAATCCTATTGTCTTTTAATTGTGACTGGCTAGAGTATACTAATAGCACAGATAACATAATATTACATACTAATAGCGTATCCGAGTTTACCATGCTGTCGTCATTACCAAAAAAATATGCACTATTCATCCCTTCACCCCATAAGCCTCCTATGTTACAATTCCTTTAAACCCTTCCCAATTCTCTTTCCCTCCAATTATTACATTAAGAGGCAGTGTTACCACTAACGAATGCATTCCAAAGTAGGTGTACATGACTCCTATTTTGGGTTTAAAGGAAATGAAAAGGGTTTTAACTGAAACTTTGCGGAGTTTTTCAAAATAAAATTGCCAGTCGAATCAAGAGTATATACTTGAATTTGATTGTATTTTTGTAACAAAATGTTATTTTTCTCTGGTTATATGAATTCTCCCTTCACCCCATAAGCCTCCTATGTAACAATTCCTTTAAACCCTTCCCAATTCCTTTTCCCTCCAATTATTACATTAAGAGGCAGTGTTACCACTAACGAATGCATTTTAAAGTAGGTGTACATGACTCCTATTTTGGGTTTGAAGGAAATGAAAAGGGTTAAAATTGAAACTTTGCGGAGTTTTTCAAAATAAAATTGCCAGTCGAATCAAGAGTATATATATACTTGAATTTGATTGTATTTTTGTAACAGAATGTTATGTTTCTCTGTTTTTATGAATTCTTAACGTAACTAGAACAGAATTTAATTATTCTTATTGCATTAGAATAAGGGATGAAAGAGACTCTCTCATTCTTCCCTTATTAGTTTAATATAAATTTTATCACAGTTAGTGTTTTGTTTATTTTGTAATGAAACAAAATTAAATATGTAATTAATATTAAATTAAAACGCGTTGATGTCTTTTCAACAAAAAATTAATTAATTAATTAATTAATAATATTAAATGTTATTTAAACTTCACCTTACTTTACCAAAATCATAATAAATACTAACTTTAAATTCAATGTAGTTTAATAGATTTTATTTAATTTCCTTTGTTTAAGTTTCAATAGAATCAAAATCCTCCTCTGAAACTTTTGAATTGAAAATTACATGCTATTAATACATAATTTTATTAAATACATTTAAAAACGTAAGCTTTTTTTATTGTTGGGGTAAACGATATGCACACCCATCCAAATGACGGTAGCAGTGAACATTGCTTAACTTAGTTAATAGACAGTAAAAAAAAATTCTATTCCATTAAAATCCACAAGGACAAATCTAAACAAATTATCTATGTACATATTTGATATACATATATATAGCACCATAATACCACACGTCTCCTGGATTTAGCCGGGCGATATGTAGATACTGAACATCGTATCTATCATTCATTAGTACAGCTAGAATCCAATACGACATTTTTTACAATCCCCAGGCACAAAGACCGGGCGTCCACCCCCACACACGCAAACAACCCCATACAAACAAGCCACGCTCGTGTGTGTAATAAAAACTTGAAAAAAATCACACTGACCCGCGCACACACGTTTATAAAAGCGAAAAAAAATCACCGACACAAAGAAACTCCACCGAAAACTTCTACAACAACTTTTGTACGCACACAAACGATTTTCACTCCTACAGGTGAAACTACAAGGAAGTTATTCATGTGTGCGCGGGTGCAGCGTGTGCGGACACGGGCTAAACTTAGCGTATACATGTGTGCGTGCTCACAACTGCAAGAGCCCGAAACTTCTTAAGCGCAGTACTCGGATGCATAAACCTACACATTTACATTTAAAAGTCTGACTTATTGCAATTAATTAGAAGTTAATTTCGTTGACACCACTACGAGTTACGACCTCTTGCCACGGACAGAATGCTGCGCGACGCGGGTAGTTTTCGTATGAAAGTTGGTGGCGCGAGATGCAGAGAGCGAGAGGGGAGCACGCGAGTGTGTTGCCGTCTCTGTCGCCCCCGCCACCCGCCGCCCGGGGCGCAGGGTCGGGCGGGGGGGCGTCGTGTCGCGTTGATGAACATTTTTCTCATTTTTTCTTTATTTTTTTTAATGCGAATCGTTTTTAAAAGGGTTTCGTCATAATTGCGCCAGCGTTCCTGATTACGTTAACGCAGCCGATAAGCCTGCGTACCATCGTGATGGATACTTCCGATTCATTTTAATATACGAAGATCATTCGCGTCATCGAATTTAAAAGTTATCAGATAATTTTAATGAGTTTGTAACAAAATAATTTAAGCAATACGGAATTTGACACTAACTTCTACTAAGAATGACTTCAGTAACTTTACACGTAGATATAATAAATATAGGTAATCCTTCGCTTCCATAAAAGTGAGAGTTATTAAACTCAAATTGAGGGTAGATTTAAAGTTTAGTAACTAAATAGTTTAGTCTCTAAACTATAAAATGTTGGAATTTATAATTACATAAGTACAGCATTTTCACTAAATTACTACATTAATTTACTAAATCAGTCCCACTAGGCTCGTACTGGCCACCAATAAGAACAAAGCAATCGCGGAATTAGAAAAATAAAACATATCGTTACACTTACGTAGTCACAATAAACACGGAATCCCCAAAAAAGCGAGTACAAGTAAAGGCTATAAAAATTGAGTAAGCCGTAAAAAAAGATAAGGAAATGATACAAAAAGGCAAACGTAAACATTGCGTTACCGTACGCATGTCTCGAGAGAATGGACGTCTCGGCGCGGGAAACTTATTTTCCCGCCTTTTCACGCGCCGCCATTTGTTTTTATTTTGCTAATATGAATCCAATAAGAATTTGCAACACGTGCAAAAATTTCGTAACCAAATTTTTGTTACATACTCTTAATTTAATAGCATATTATTTTTGATACATTTATATAAAAATAAATTACTTTTAATTATATATTTAGTAAGTATATGTCAGTTTAGTTTATAGAAAGCTTTCGTTCTATGTTTTTTTGTTACTGAATGTACGAGTATAAAATTACGCTTTTGCATAAATAGAATATCATTTTCCTGTAGTGTGAAACACGGAAAACTTTTTCAATACACTAAAACATTAAACAGTATTAAAAATCGGATAATCCGTGCTTATTTCGGCCGCATCCTCGCTAGAAGGGGAAACAAAAAAAACTCATTCTCGGCGGCAGTGTAGCAGGAACCGCGGCGGACGCCGGCCGCATCCAAAACATTCTATTATTTTGTATTACGTGTTTCATTTCGCGTAGAGTTTTGGACGGCGCTAGTTTTGCGGCGCGAAATGTGCACTAAATTGTGACTTTGGACATTAAAAATTAAAATGGAGTACCGCGAACGGTTTTCGTCAATCAAAAACAATATTTGTCGGCAAAATTTTTGGTAAACACCGCAACTAAACGCAGTTCAAACTAGATTTTATTTTCCATTTCTTTTCTCACAAACCCAAACAGTTAACAAAGTTTTTGTTTGCGTATGTTATGTTTTTTTAATGAACCGGTAACAAACTGTAGAGCGACAGACTAGAGGGAATAGAAGTTGGGGAGCAGAGAAAAGAAGAGAAGATGGCGCTTGCTTCTTCCGTGAGCCTGTACTACTCGATAGTGCAGCGGGCAGCTAGGCACTACCTAGAGGATTACTGTCATACAGGTATGGATTTATTTTTACCTAAACTTAAAAAAAAAGCTCGATTATGTTATATACAAAAGCTAAATACCTGACAAAGACAGTTTGGAATCAGCTTTTTTATGAGTAAAAATAAGATTTTTATCATAGAAAACCTCCATCGATATAAATGGATTTAATTATTTGTTATTATTTACATCCAAAATACTTAAGAGCTTTATAATATATCTTAATAAGAACTTCATATATAATGAACAATTATAAAAACACAGTAGATTTAAAAAAAATATTCTTTATTTTGATTATTTATGAAATTTATCAAATATATCTGTTGGACTCATAATATTTGAGGCATATTTTTGCACCATCTCTAACTAAAACTCAGAATTATATATATGTAACATAGAGCCTTTCGGCCTCTTGTGCACGTCATATTTTTTCATCATCACCATCCCTATCATCCAATTTGGCTTAAGTAGCTAACTTCAGAAGAGAAGAACTAGCAAGAAACTCAACTGGTACATTTTTTAATATTATATGTAAAATTATTTTTCTGTGATATTATTATAAATAATATTTTTTAGCCAGTTTCTATCACCATCTATCTAATAATTAGAAGAAGGTATATTAGAATATAATTGAGCTACACTCTGTAGAGTTGTCTGCAATTATCTTTATATAGTTCATTTTAACTGTTTTAAACAGATATTTTTTACATAAAAATTGGTTGTAATTTAGATCAAAATTTTAACTTAATGTACAAATAATACTATGTCCAAAACATAAATATAACCTACTTCAATCGCATTATTAAATATAACTCAAAAACTTAACAGATCTCGATGAAATAAATAATGTTTGTGAGGCCACAAGAGAAGCGGTAACTTTAAAATAAAATGAAAGAATTATATAAAACGATTAAATAGTAAAAAAATTGAAGTAAAAAAAACTAAAGTACGAAACATTATAAAAATAAAAAGTTCGTTATAGCCGATATAAATAGAAACTTATTTTAACTTTAAAATGGTTATTTATTGTAAATTAAAATATTATTATTATAAAATAATCATAAATACATTAATAACAATTATTTATTAAAATGTGTATAAAAAAATATAACTAAAAGACGTAAAACAACGTATTTTTTAGAAACTATTATTGAAATTGAGATGGATGTGAGAACTAGGAATATAGAATAAGGTACGAGGAAGTTTAAAAGTTGCTCCAGGAGCGGAGAACTTGCAAGATAACAGATTGTCTTGGTATGGACTTGTTATGTGGAGCGAGGACTATGTCATCTAAAAAGTACATAATATGTAAGTGGACATAATATAAATAGAAATAGAAATAATCTTTATTCAAATAAACTTAAAGCATTTTTGAACTTACCGTAAACTTAGATTGTAAAATGAACTACCTGCCAAGGTTTTCTCATGAGACCACAGCATGGAGTTTTTCAAGAAGGGTATATTAAGGTTTCTTAAGAGTCGGCAACGCGCACGTGAGACCCCTGGTGTTTCAGGCGTCCATAGGTTACGGTAACCATTTACCATCACATAAAGCGTGTACTGGTTTGCCACCATCGTAGTATAAAAATAAAAATAGTCATATTATTTCTATTCCACCACTCATTCAGAACGCCGACTCATCACAAGAAGAATGAGCAAGAAACCTGCGTGTTGCTCTTTTAAATTAACGTTATTCTAAGTAATTACATATGAACAAGGATTAGGCATGCGACTATCAATATAGAAACCGTTACGCACTTAATCTTAGTGCATTCAGATAATAAAGGGAAATGATACCTGAATAAGAAATGGGTGAACTGTGTGATAGATCACTTGTATAAAAGAAGTGTAAGCTCAGATTTGGCGGTCGAAGGGACTATTGTAAGAAGTTGACATACTGCTCAGACCCCAAATAACGGGATAAAGGCTACTAATGAAAGAATAATTGAACTAAATATCCGTTTTATTGTTTTAAATCCATAATATTTTATTAGCATAAACGTAATATATTTTTTAATGTGTGACATTTGGGAGATCCTTATGATGTATTATTCATAAAGGGTATTAATAAAGGTTAATGTTTATTAAAAAGTCTACGGTAGAAAAATTTTAAACTAATCTTTTAATTAGTGTTGAGTTGAGAGGTATCATATCATTTAAACTTTACTATATTATACATATCAATAAATTGACTTGTGTGATGTTTTACCACACGAGTCTTTTAAACATGTTTTATATAAATATATATTATAATGTGTTTTATATGACAATACCGTGACCTCCTAACTCCCAATAAAAGCTCAAGTCTGGTCGACAGAAATATTTTTTTTGTATTAATTTCTGACTGACTCTTTGATGACGAAAATCCCGGTAACAAACACAAGAAATAATCCAAGAGGTGGTAGGCTCGCCCCTGCTATGTGGGATTATAATATACGCAGCGAAATATAGGCATGTCAAGTGTTGCTTTTACCACAAATTCGCCAATTGCCAATGCCTCTGTTTACCGCAATAGGGATAACAGCCGTGTCAATATATTAGATATGTATTATTTTATTTCTAATGTTCTACTTATTACTAAAGTTTAAATTGATATTTTTTTTTAATTTTGAACTAAAAGTTCTGTTGTTGTATTATTATTATATTATATTATATATATTATATTATACAGTACCCACAGTAAAATTAAATAGATTTTATTAAAAACTCATTCCTTTTTTAATCCTTACAAGACAGAGCTCATTATTTTTGTCCATTAAATTCTCGACAGATTATAAACAAACAATTCAAATTCTAAGAAAACAAAGGGGATAATTCAAGAAATGCTTATTTACGTACTTGTAATGAGCTTCGATAAAAGCTGATTACTTTATAATCCGTACTTTCGACCGACTTCAAAAAAGGGGAGATTCTCAAGTGGACGGTGTTTTCTATAAATATTACGGAAAGTCGTGTTCTATTCTGAAGGTATTAAAATTATTATTTTTTAATTAATAATTTGCATTACAATTATATATAATTACTTATCAATAAAAGGACCTTTGTTTTTTAAATAATCGTCGTAAATCGTCGTAAATCGTCGTAAATCGTAAAGAGTCATGAGATATACCATAAAAACTAAAAATGCATATTACTACTTGCTGACCCCGCAAACGTCGTTTTGCCATATAAATTGACATCCCTATTAAAAAATAGTGGTTGATGATTGAAAGGTGACAATTTAGGGTTGTATGAATTTTTAATGCCAAATTAGAAATAATTTTAAAAAATGTCGAAAAATAAAAAAAAAGTTAGGGGTGGACAACCCTTATCACTTGAGGCATGAAAAATAGCGTAGCGGCAATTATGTTAGTATTTACGAATACAAAAAAAGCAAGTTGATTATTTATAAACATATAAATAAATAAATAAACTTGTATAATTAACACAGCGCCATCTAGTTCCACGGTAAGTAGAGCTTGTGTTATGGGTACTAGATAATACACATAGAAAACAAATTACAAATGTTGGCACCGCGTGAAGCATCGAACCCGCGAACATCGAAAATAAAGCGGTCTTCTAAACCGCTAGACCACCAAGGCCAATAAACATGTTAGACCCAACAAGAACGCAGAAGATGAATATAGGAAGTCAGCGTACAACCATATCTGTACATACTTTACGTACGTAATGTACCTTTAAAGTATAAAAAATTGCATTTTTTTTTATTAATCTTTATTGCATTTAAAAAATATATAAAAACCAGAATATATAGAGTGTATAGACACAAAAGGCTGTTTAGCTTAAGCGATCTCTTCCAGACAAACTTAGTTTAGGGTAAAGGAGAATAGACAAAAAGTAGAGAATTGTGCTTGAATAGAATGAAAGAAACATAAATAATAATAATAATAATATATCAAATATTATAAACATATATATATATATTATTCTTAGTTTACACACTCTGTACTTACTTTTTAATAATTTTTTTTATGAATAATAACGAATCTTATCTGTATATAAATATACTAGCTGTGGCCGCGGTTTTACGCATGAAATTTATAGCCTATATGTTATTCTAATATATAAGCTATATTACTGTAAGGTTTCATCAAAATCCGTTCAGTAGTTTTTACGTGAAAGAGTAACAAACATGTATACTTACAAACTTTCGCGTTTATAACATTAATAAGATTTTAAATTAGATCGTAAATATATTAAGATATAAATATTTAATTAAGACCAACATAATAAATATTTTATCAATAAATAATATGTTACTGCGCAGATTTTTCATTATGACCGCCCTTTACACGTAAATGTACACTCCAATACACAAATGTTACAATCTTTAGAATATATATCAGTTCAAAATTGAAGTAACCTCCTATTATCAAAAATATTACTTATTAATTATATAATAGGGTTATGGTTACGTTTAGGAGCTAAGATGCCACAGATTGACTTATAGAAAATGACACCCCTATTTTTGAGTCCTAATATATTATAATGACTTAAGTAGTCTATCAATTAATCACGCTGCCTCACTTCTCAAAAATCATAGATTCGATTCCTATACATACATTTGTATTAATATCTCTTTTTATTACTCTGCTAGTTGTTCTATTCAAAAGTATTGTGAAGAATTTTTAGTACTTATTATTTTAGTTACTTACAAGCTCCGTTTAATTTGAGATATGGTGGCCCTGTGTGGGTTGTTAGGATCAGTTATTTCTTTATATTTTACTGTATTAGTTTATATTTTAGTTATTCGATATATACGTCAACGCTTGAGTTTAAATCTCAATATCGATTTTAATTCAATCCACGTTTGTACCGTTCTTTTAAAACCATTGAAGTGTTAACCGACTAAATCGATTATATTTCCGGTTTGTTGATTCAATGACCACGAAATATCAAAATAATACATTGATAAAAACAATTCGAGAGTATTGAGATGCGGACCAACATATTCTTTTGAAACATAGACAAATAGATAGACATTTTCTTCTTTTATATTCATAACAACAACGATTC